CTTCCTAAAACTTTGCTAAGATTTGCCCATTTCAAATTGGGTCGATAATTCCCGTTAGAAATGCACCCCAAAGCACAATGCTTGCTGCCAAAAATAATTAATTATGGAGGAAATATTCAACCACTGTGTAGCTAAACATTTCTGTATATTTGGGGGAACTGGGACTTTACAATCTGACTTTATGATTCATTCATAGGACCATCTTTCTAGTGTCTTTTGAAATCTAATATGCTTGGGGTTGCCTATCCATTCTTGAATTTTAGCTAGAAAAACCAAGGCTATCCACCCCCTACTGATCGAATAAATGGTGACCTTTCTACAATTTAATGATGCATACTGCCATGTATAGGACTGAAGCTGCAAAAACTTGAAGCTCTTCTTCGATTTTCATCCCTTGCATTTCTGATATACCTGGTGACATCTCCCTCTAATGTTGGGGGCAAAGGACAGCTCTTTCAGTCTCAGTCTTCCAAATTCCCATAGTGCTACCAGGACTTCCTTTGGCTTCAATTTATCTAATCTCCTTATATGTCCTATCTGCTTACAATGTTCTATCAAGACATGTTCTATTTGCAGTTATAATCTGAAATATCTGATTATCACATCAGTTTGATATATTGGTAGGCACATCAGCCCACTGTCACTACCAAAATTGGAAACAATTTAAGGAAAATTAATCACTCAAACCACTCTACTGTCCATTTGGTAGCATCAAAGTAAGACCCAACTCTCGTGTTTCAGGAACTAACAAAGTGCCTCAAAGTGTGTCTGTAAATCTGTCTATAGGGTCCTTTTCCTTTCTAATTTAAAGTCAAATTCAACCACCAAGTGAATGCAGCGAATAATTGAAAGCACTGTGCTTGGCTTCTATAAAAGGAAAATATCTAAGTAGTATTTGGTATTGTGATTTAGTGTCTTGCAAATGGACCATTCCAGCATTGTCCTAATGCACCCAAAACTGTAGGTTTATAAAACTGTAGCTTAAAATGGTAAATAAAACAATAACTATCCAAGAATACTGCTTTCTCCTAATAAAACTCTAACCACATTAATGTATACAATTAAACAACTTAATCTAAACTTCTTTTCCCAATGCAGCAGACCTTAGTACAGTTTTCCGACTAATAAAGGCATATCCCAGTGTAAATGTCACTATCAGTAAACAATTCTTACCTTGTAGGAATATCTGTCCACTTTTATCTTCCCAGATATTTGCACTCATTCATAGCTATACAATATCAGGGTCCAACATGATTAAGGGACTGAAGCTTAAACAAACGATTGAGGGATGTAGATATGGTTAGTGTAATGAAGAGACAGAGTAGTGGTGATATAGCAGTGTTTTAATACTTGAGCGGCTCTGACAGAGAACAGGGGGTTGACCTATTCTCCAAAGTATCTGAGGGCAGGACAAGAAGTAACAGATGGAAGATTACCAAAGGGTGATTCAACCTAGAACTAAGGAGAAATTTCCTGACAGTGAGAACAATTGATCAATGGAATGGCTTATCTCCAGAAGTTCTGGGTGCTCCATCACTGGAGGTTTTCAAGATTTGCCTGGAATGATATAGGGTCTCCTGCTTGAGCAGGGGATTGGATTAGAAGACTTTCAAGGTCCCATTACAGCTCTATTACTTTATGTTCTATGTCCTGCTTTAAATATCCCTCATGGCTACATTCCCCTTCTATCAAATCTATTAAATCTATCTTCTATTAAATCTCCGGTTTGGGCGAACCAGTAGTGATAAAAACTACTGGTTCGGGAGAACCGGTAGTAAAAAAAAGCTACGGGTTTTGTTGAACTAGCCGTTTAAAAAGCTACTGGTTCCTCCAAACTGGTATTTCCGACAATCAGCTGTGCAGCCGGGTTTAACTTTGCTAGAAAGCAGGAAATCCTGCTTTCTAGCGAAGCTAAATCGTGCACCACAGCTGATCCCCTCGCTTCTACTTATCTTGCCAAGCCTCCTTTTGGCGCATACTGCGCATGCGCACAGGCAGAGCGCGCATTTGATGCATAGTGCGCACGCAATGTGTTTGGTGCACAGCGCACATGCGTGACCAGAGAACCGGTAGCAAACCGGTTCGGATTTCACCACTGCCTTTTACCCTGGTAGAATGAAACACATAGAAGAAACTGTCCCCTACTGTACATCCTTGTGCACTGCTGCCACTCTGATCAAACCAAATCATTTCTTCCTTGGAAGATTACTGTTGGGATTCTAAATAAATTCAAAAGTAGAGTTGGTCTGACTTTTCTTGTGTTGACAATTGTGTTAAATCTTGCCTTTATTTGTTTTTCTTCCTATCAATTGAGTATTTACATTGCCTCTAATCCATATACAAGTAGTTTTAAAGGTGTGATCTAGCTGAGAATTAAATAGCCAGTTTATTCATAAAGGAAGTCTTAGATACACATATGACATTGGTAAAACTGCTTCTTTAAAGTCTTGATATAATTCAGTCAGAGATGAGAATGAGTATTCAGGGGCTTGAGCAAAAAGGGCACTTTTTATTCAAGCTTAATTCTACACAGTGCTTTTTTCCAGCTCATCATCTTCCTTTTTTGTCTTGCCTTTCATATGAGAAAAAAAAAATCTTTAAAGGAAAGACCATGCAGGAAAATGTGATTTCTAACAAGCCCTTTAATTATTTAATAGAGTAATGAGAATATGTCAGCTTAGTTTTAAATCAGTTTTATCATTGTATATCATTATAGCATTTGAGAAGATAATGAAGCCACATTGACTGGTTTATATCATCTCATTTAATACATTTGCATGAAAGTTATGTATGTATGTATGTATGTATGTATGTATGTATGTATGTATGTATCTCCCAATCTATTCTGTAGCCATGGTATTTCTTGGTAGTTTCCCATCCAAATATTAACCAAATCCCAGCTTAGTTGTTTCTGACCAACAAAGTTTGACTAGATGCTGCCATCTAGCTAGGATAAAATAAATAATTTTACAAGGATATGAGATTAGGAAGTTGGAAAAAAAATATATATATTTCAGTTTATTTCTTAATTGCAAAGTTCTGTCAGGAAAGTGGGGAGTAAGCTTGATGGATCAGACTGGGTTGTCTTTCCATCATAAGTACAGTGACTTCATCTTCCAACAGATGAAGTCAGCATAAGCCAAGCCATCCTTCAATTCTAAAGTCTTATGACAATATTACATTAGAAGCAGAATACTTGTTCTGGGAGAGAACTGTGAAACAAGTTCCCTGACCTTGGTCTTTTCTGACAGATATATGGGGCCAGGCTGAAACTTTAGTGAGTTATTGGAAAAAGCAGTATTTAAACACTAAGTATGCACTCATTACATGCCTGCTTTTAATGTAGGAAATGAGTAAAAGAAGTTGTAGTAATGACTCACTTGAAACAAGCTCACAGAATTAGCAGATCTTATTTCAAAGTAAATAATTTTAGGATGAATGCTGGAGGATTTAAAAATCAAACACAGAAGCATAATGCATCTTTAGTGCTTCTCAGTTTTACAAATATCTAGGGGAAAAAAATCCTTGGATAACAAGATATTAAAGTCATTTGAGAGACAGCTAGATGGTACCTCAAAGTAGTTCTGAATTTGTTCTTCACATCTTGTCTTCTTCCACCCTCTTTTTTCTGACATTATTACTTTTAACCTATAAAGCATAACCCAAATAATTTATTAAATATACATTAATAAAAATTTTACAACATAATAAAAGCTTCAGTTCAGTCCAGGAGTAATAAAATCTTAATAAACCCACTTTGGTAGGGATAAGAATAAATTCATCCCAAAGACTCATTGCGGGTAAATGGAACTAGAATTATTTCAGGTGAGTCAGGAAAGGAAAAAGACAAAGACATAAAGATGTAAAATTGGAGGAATATTTTGATGGAACAGATCTCACAGCTCTGAAATTGAAGTTAATACGTATTCTCAAATACTCTGTGAGACACAAAGGACAAATATTAGCTTTTTTTCAAATGAGGGAAGAGCCTTCTTCCATGGGAGTTTGGATCCCAGCCCCAAATTTCCTGAATTTTCCATATTTATCATACATATTCTGATGGTTCTGGGTTCCTAGCTAAGCAATTGTTTTCTTTGAACATGCATGCTCAGTCTTGGTCAACTGCTTCCAAGTAGTGGCTTGCCTGTGTGAATAAACTTATCTGAGCAAATACTCTAAAAGAGATACTGTATCAGTTTACACAAAGGATTATTCATTCCATGCCCATCAAGGGCTGAGAAAAGGATGGCAGGTGAAGCACTTTTAAAATTGTGCTAGTATCCCTTGAACTGCCTCAGAGTTTTATTTTCACTGAGATTTTCAAAAGAGCAAACCCGGTCATACATAATGAAGAGTAGTATCTTTTATTTTTACTACGAATGCTGCTTTATGTAAAGGTGGAGTAGAAATAAAGTTCAAGATTATTTCCTCAGTGGACCAACTGTATGTATATAATGGTTTCAGGTAGAGACATTCTAACCTGCTTGCAATCACTTGTAACGTATTTAATTGAAAATATATTTATTATATCCCATTGAAATCAACTGAAGAAATAACTTAATTTTTTTTTAATCGGGGGTATATCTTCTCACTGACCTGGTAAACCTGCTTTGCCATTTCAGACTAGCTACGGTACACTTTTCCAAATAAAGCATTTTTAACAAAAAGAACAACAACAACAACAAAGAAAAACAGCCAGTGGGAATAGAAAAACTAGCATAGCAGGGGGGAAACTAGGCGGTGAGCTATAGTTTCCACGTGCAGGGACTTGTCTCGTATGAAAGGGAGCAATCTGCAGTCTGAGATGGCACAGACACCGGTTCTTCCCCTCCGTGAGACTTATGCCACGAGTAACCCCAACAGGCTTTGGGACCTTGATTTTTCCCCACGAGAAACCCCGGCGAGTGCCCGAGTGGTTCGGTAGAGGCTGGTTGGCGCCTGGCAAGGAAGCGCGGGATCAACCCACGTGCCTTCATCTCTTTCTTTGCTCCTTCTTGCAGCTGGGGACAGAAAACAACAGGCCAGCGGTTCCGGGAGCAAAGCTCCAACAGACGTCCTCTCCGGCATCCACGGACTCTCTGTTCCTGCCTCCTCGTCCTAGGAAGAGAAAGGCGGGAAACAGCGTCGGAGGCGGGAAGATTTCGGAGGAGATTCTCCTTTCTCCCAGAGGCCAGGTTTAAATCGGGAGAGTTGGACCTGCAGCCTATCCAGAGGCGCGCCGATGGGGCGGGCTCCATTGTCTGCCCGCGTTTTCTCACGGCTCCTTCTCGCCCAAACAAACGCGGAGGAACGGGCCCTGCGCGTTGCCTTCTCTGCGCAGGCGGGGAAAGCGCAAAAACCCAACGCGTCGGTTTACCTCTCGCCGTGGAGAAATTGAGGAAGGACATTTTTTCCCCCATTTACGCAGCCGAGAGTGACCCAAGGAGACCACGCGCCAGTTGGTCAATATACTGGTAGTTTTTGAACAATTATTCAAATTCCTTCTAATTTAATTGTGAAAAGTTTTCGAACTGACATGTGAAAAGTTTCAGCAATTGGCTGTATATCATGTTAAACAAACCAATTAACCTGAGCTGGCAAATGAAAAGAAGGACATTGCTCAAACTATTAGCATAGCCTTTCCCTTCCCTTCATATTTCCAAAATGTTTTCCTTGAACAGGTTTCACAAGACTTATGCCCGATGTTCCACTCTGCTAAAATCCTGTTTTGCCGGCATAGACATGCTGCTAACTTCTAATGCAAAATGGCAACTCAGTAACAATCTTTCCTGATTTTATATTTTTGTAACAAACCAATAAAATATGAATAACAATCTCCCTTGTGTTGTGTTGTGTGTGTTGGGGGATGATGTCTCCTTGAAAGTTGCCACTAAATGTCCTTCTACAGCCAAATCCTAACCATGTTTACTCAGCACCGCAGTAAACTCAGATGACTTCAGTAGGATTTTCAAATAGCTGGAACACACTCAAATATTTTAAATCTGCCAGAACTTCAAATTTTATGACTCAGAATTTGAAGCACAGCATTTGAATATGAAATGTACCGTTTTATTTCAAAAACAGTTTAGCATTATTGATAAACTTGATTTACATGGATAGCCATCAATTTTAACATTCCATAACTTGTCATATATTACCAAAAACAACTGTGTTAATTAACTAACACTATTAGATGTTAAATATAAGTATATATTTAAATATATATTCAAATAAATGAAATATAACTATCATTTTTAAAACTGCTTAAATATCAGATGTAAATATATGCTGATCTTCACAGATAAAAATTGTAAAGTCAAACTTATTTTCCTCCCATTTTATACTGATATGACAGAAGAGCCAGACACCTTGGTTTCATTTTTTGCATATTCCCGAATTTCACTGAATCAGAGTTAGTCACTGTCATCTTTCCGCCAAACTTACTTTAGAAGGAAGTTGTAAATTTGAGTCAGGCCTCTGTAAATAAGAAAATGTGTATAATCTAAAATTTCTCAGGGGAGCAATGGAATAAACCTGTAATAAATAGAGATTTTATTTATTGAGTAAGAAATGAGTATCACCCAGTGAGTGAGCCCATAGAAATTCTGAAAGAATTACAACCTAATAACAACTTCAGAATTTGGATATTAAATTTGTTCTAATTCTAGAACCATGATGCTTTGGTTTAGTAAGTATTTTCACAATTCTTGATGGCTCGATGAGTTCTTTGATATGTTTGGAGATATTTTTCATATTCAGGACCAGTAAATGTTTTGTGACGTATTATTTTCTCATGACTACATCTGGATTTGCAACCAAGGAACCAGTCTGTTAATTAAAATTAACTTCCATGTAATGGTTTCATGGAGATGCAATTTGAGACCTGTAGAAACAATTGTATGTAATCATCACTGGTAGGTTTCAAATTTTTTTACTACCAGTTCTGTGGGCGTGGCATGACTTGGTGGGCATGGCAGGGGAAGGGTACTGTAAAATCTCCATTCCCACCCCACTCCAGGAGAAGGATATTGTAAAATCTCCATTCCCTCCCCACTCCAAGGGAAGGTTACTGCAAAATCCCCATTTCCTCCCGATCAGCTGGGACTTGGGAGGCAGAGAATAGATGGGGGTGGGGCCAGTCAGAATTTTTACTACTGGTTCTCCAAATTACTCAAAATTTCTGCTACTGGTTCTCCAGAACTGGCCAGAACCTGCTGAAACCCACCTCTGGTATGCATGCATGCATTTTAACTACTTTTCTTACTTCTTACTTATACATTTAATTATTGAATTTTAGAAAAAAGACTTGAGAGTTTCAATCAAACATTGAAAGGCAGAATATTCCTGTTGAGTGCTGAATGTACCCATGACTTCTTTTAAGTCATTCTCTTCCCTTAATCCCTGTAACCAGCAAGCCAAAACCTGGAATGATGTGAGTACCCCCACTCAATTCTTTTTGTGAGAGATTTCTGGCAGTTTTGATTTAGAACTTGTTTTTCTATTTTTAAACTTTTTCAAAACTTGGAGTTTTCCTGAACATGCTGATACCTCCCCTGGCTACTCAGTTGTTCTGTGTACACTGTCTTCATAACTCAGTTCCTAAGTTTAGTGTCTGAATGTACTGTATGTAGCTTAGTAGACACTGAGCTTATTTTTAAAATGATGAGAATTTCTTTTAGTGTTGTAATGTTACTATAACTTTCCATACAAATTGTATATAATTTTATTAATTCTGGGTCCCTGAAGGAGGGTGGAAAAGGAATGGAATTACATGGGTATAGATTTGATTCATTTTTGTGTATTTATGATAGTTCATCAGATTTCACGAGAACCATATTAACTAAAAACTGTTTTTACTCCATTTTAACATCCATTGGTAATGACAAGATAGTTCAGACACAAAATAACTGAATATTTAAAATATTAGTTAAGAGAAACATTTTTCCATTCCCAATAGTTTTGTAAAAATTCTCTCATCAGTGTGAAATTTTATCAGTTACTCTAAATTGGCTGCTTTTCCATAGATTGCCAAGCCTTTGTGAAACTTTCTTGTCCCCTTGTGGCTAGAAGGTCCATGAGGATTCCAGATTAGTCCATATAAATTGATATAAACAAATGCTTTTAATATTTTAATATTTTTAACAGTAAATGTATGCAAGGAGTAACAGCAACCCAATACAAATAATAAATAGAGAAAAAACACTGGTATATTTTTCCAATATCTGACTTATTTGTTGAATTACCCTCACTCTGTGTGTGTGTGCATGCGTGCAGGATGTATGATGCATCTTGTTTGGTTATTGGTTATGGTGGATGTTCTGTGATTTCCAGCTAGCAACACCATCTTCTACTTAAAGTCAATTGGACTGAGAAAATGAACTAAGTATATGCGTAATGGATGCAAGATAGTAAAGAAATACAGTGTTAAAATGTCAGTTAAAATTATCTTTTATTTGAGCTAGATTTTTCCAGTAGTCAAGTGCAATGCTAATGGATACCATATGAATTTGAAGAGAATTTTGCTAGATAAGTGCTCTATGTGTGAGCCAACCTAGAGGCAATATAATTTCCACAGTCATATTAATTTCATAATTTTGGATATATTTCTCTTTACCTTTTTGAAAGGGAGCTGATTTAACTGTCTATGCTATGGAATTGCTATGATTCTTTTCTGATATATTCTTCTGAACTGTTAGTTTTCTTCCTAAGTAATATATATACAAGCATCTTTTTTTTCTCAATTTTTTTTTTTAAACAGACAAACATACAATACATCTTTTCTGAACAGAACATTGACCTGGTCAATTTTTTTTCATCTTTAACACAATTTTGTACATTCAATTTTTAGCATAACATTTATTTCTCTCTAATTTAAAAAACTCTAATGTTACCCTTCATCTTAACTTAATTCAAATTTTTCTTTTTCCTCCCTAAAATTTGATCCCCTTAATTTGCATTGATAACATAATACCATCTCCAATTATTTATCAAATGTACCAAATAATACAATTATTTCACATTTCTACATCATTCAATATATTAATAAAAACCAATTAAATCTAAATCTTACCCCCAATATGACAACTATTACAGTCTTATATGTTAAATTTATTCATATTTCTAAATCTTATTGCAATTTTTAAACTTCCATACATTTTTGCCCTTCCTCTTAACTTCTATTCCTAATATAATTCAATTTTTCTTTTTTCCCCTAAAATTTGAACCCCTAAATTTGCATTCACACAACATAATATAATCTCCAATTTATTTATCTAATATTCCAAATAATACAATTATTTCAGGTTTTTGTTATAGTTTCCCTAATTAATTAAGAGTATTCAATAGAAAATCAATTAAGTAAAAATCTTAATTCAAATAATACACCATAATGCAATTCCAAATCATTTCCTTAAATTCTCTCTATTCCCAATAGTACAATTCAACAACTTTATAGAAACCAAATAAGTATGATTTTTTTCTACTTAGTTCATTGTCCCATATTATTTCAACTTTCTTTTCTTTTTTAGTTCAATTCCAAATATATAATTAAAAGTATTCCAATTATTACCATTCTCCTAATTACTTAAGACTATCCCAATTATTACATTCATCATACATACATATGTTAAATTGCTTAGTTAATATCACAATTCTCCCTTTCCATTTTTGTATTTTTTCTTTCCCTTTCTTTTCTTTTTTTGCTTTAAATTCCTGAACTCTCTCCTCCCTTTTTCTTATCTTTCCACTGTTAATCCCAGTGTAATCATTTTGTCTTTTAAAGTCATAAACTCTTCTGTTTTGCTCTGCATTTCTCCTTATTTTCCATCCCTTTTCTCTTTTTCTTATTTTCCCACTGACAATCCCAGCGTAATCATTTAAGTATTTTATATTCTTTCTATTCCGCCCTCTTTTTCTTTGCTTCTTTCCCCCTTTTCTGTTTCTTCCATTATTAATCTTAATGTAATCTCTGAAATTCTCCTTTTTATTATTACTAGCCCCATAATCATTTAGTTTTCCATAGTCAATCTCTTTGTCTTTGTCTTCTTCTTTATTATTAGTCTCTTTTTTCTTGCTTCTTAATTATTTCCTTGTCCATCTGAATAAATTCTAAGTCATTTTTTAGTTCATCAGGTTTCGATTTTCCATGCAATATTATAGTCATTTCACTTATTTCCATCTCCAATGATAATGTTGTGGCTCCGATCCCCGAGCCCATCTTATTGGAGGAAGAAGGCTCCGAACATGAAGGAGAGGAGCCGGCCAGGCCTCCCTCTCCAGGCCCCTCCTCTCTGGCAATGCCTCAGGTGTCTGCCGAGGGAGAGGAGATTGACCAGGAGCCAGGTGTCTCCGATGACAGCGATGTGGGTGATAAATCGTTCCTGGATCCACGCCAACGAAGGCGAGATAAACGTTTGCAGCAGATGAGGAGGCGTGCCAGGGATTAAGCTGAGTCACTGGACCACACCCCACAGGCTATATAAGAGAGTGTGGTGGCCATTTAGACTCTGTGACGGACAAAGCTAACTTCTGGCTAGTCACTTTGTACAACGCCTGATCTGCTGAAGATTTCATGTTTGAGCTGGACTGTTTTGAAAACTGTGTGTATTAGTTGGTGTTATCTGGTGGAGGAACACTCCCTCTTCTTGTAGTAAAGCACTTGGCAGACGGTTATCGTATTGCTGCTAAGTTTCTGATAACGAACCTTGTATGTGCCGAGTACTTCTTTAACCCCCGGCTGGCTGTTTGTGTGTGTGTGGGGACGGGGACAGAACAGATAAGTACATTGTTTTCATCATTTCCTTAAATTCCTCCATTTTGTACTTTTTCAGTTAATATTA